CTACTACTACTGCGACTGCTATTGCTACTGCTACTGCTACTGCTACTGCTGCTGCTGCTGCTGCTACTACTACTACTACTACTACTACTACTAGCAGCACCAGGAATAGTAGGTATTGTTACTATTCGTGGTCGTAGGCAGTGGTCGTTGTCGAGAGTCTTGGTTGTGGCGTGGTGCACGTGTGCGTGGTCATGGTAGTGGTGCTAGTGAGGGTGGGAGGGTCAGGGAAGTAGACCTTGTAGTCGTAGCAGCAGCAGCTGCAGCAGCAGTAGCAGTAGCAGCTGCAGTAGTTGTTGATGTTGTTGTTGGTGATGGTGGCGGTGGTGATGTTGCGGTTGTCTTTGCTGTTGCTGTCGTTTATTGCTGTTGGTTGTTTTGATTGGTTGGTTGTTGTGGTTGTGGTTGTGGTTGTGGTTGTGGTTGTGGTTGTGGTTGTTGTTGATGTTGTGTGTTTTACTGACAGGACACTGACTTTGGAGACTTTGTTTTTTCAAGCTCAAAATACTTGTCCGTTTGTCAATTTGTGTGTTGCTTGGATTGTGTGATGCGCTGGGACGGTAATTGCATATGCTTCAATAGTTTAAACATCGATTTCTTGTCAGTATGTAACCGCTCTTGAAGGAGTTATGTGTTGGTCTTCGAAACACAGCGTGGCTCCAGGGTTAAAAGTCGGAGCGTTCGGAACTTCGGATGGTCAATGTGAGTGTCATAGACTTGCCGAGATTTCAACCAAGAGATTGTCGTTTCGTGGTCCGAATTCTGGGAGCATTGCGACGCGGCATTGCACGGGGGGCTTGTCATGAGCTGGAAGTTCCGGACGGACAGGTTGACAAGGGGAAGATGCAGACAGTCGTGGCCGAGGCGATTCAGAGCTGGGCCAGCGGACTTTCACTGAATCCTGAACCCTAGCCCTAGTCACTTTCTCTTTTTACTTGCAGAATTCGTAGCCACGAAGACGGAGCCCAGAAGGCCCAAACCCTAACCAGACATCCTGCACTCCAAATCCTCCGCTCAGCACCCGCAGTTGTAGTCGTAGTAGCACAGCACAAGTAGAAGAACCAGTAGCAATAGCAGTCGCAGTAGTAGTAGTAGTAGTAGTAGCAGCAGCAGCAGCAGTAGTAGTGGTGGTAGTAGTGGTGGTGGTGGTAGCGGAAATGGTAGAAGCAAGAGCAGAAGTGTGGCAGAAGTGGAAGTACAAAGGAACAGAAATAGCCGCACAGGAGGAGGAGGAGTTTGAGGAGGATGTGCAGTCGAGAGTGCCGGCAGTCTCGTTCAAGGTGGTTCTAAGATCCAGGTTGCAGGGATCCAGTTGAAGGTAGGGGCTCGATAGAGGATCCGCGTGTTGATAAGCTCTGGACCAACTATACAAGACTCCTCGCCATTGGTGTGTTTTTGTTTACCATGACGTGGAACCCCGGATACCCAAGCCTTGTGGTTTGTGAAGAAAGAAAACGGGTTTCGGCATGTCATCTGCTAGCTAGACAGGGTTAGCAATAGCATGTGTTCTAAGCCCTATGCAGATCATCTTGTAATTAGTATACTCGGAGAGGGTCCGTGTACCCTGCCACGATGGAAACAAGAAGCCATCGCAGTGGCAAGGGTGTCGTTTTGGGACCGTGTTGCAGACAGCAGATGAAGTGCTGCCTCAGACTTTGAGCGCATATGCCCCAATCCTGCAACAGGTCCGACATCACCACATGTTCGCTTCAAAGATCTCGCCTAAACATTGTACACATTGTCCCAAGCCTTAAGTGGGAATTTGAGACAATAGGGGACCCTACAGCAGACGCAAATAGTAGCATTATACGAAGCTCTGATCAATGGTTCTGGGACAGAATAACTTCGAATCATTTTACATTGCAAAACCTCGCAACACCCGATTACCTTAAACAGCAAAGCCTATAGAAAGAAAGTGCATAAGAGGCGGTCCCAAGTATCTCCATCTCGTCTCCTCAGCCTGCGGAGGTCTCGGGGCTTCACGGGAGTTTTACAAGGTTCTGCTGGATGCGCTATAAGGGTTTTGCAGCAGTGATAAAGGGTTTTGTGAGGGTTGGTCTCTGGCAGTCAGTCTTTAAAGTTTGGCAAGTTTAGGTACTGGGGCCTTTTCCAGGTCTCGCTTCCCGGGCTCAGAAGTTCAGGTTTTTAGGGTCTAGGAGATGTAGAAAAGCCTCAGATTTGGTTCAGGGGTTTAGAGGTTTAGGGTTTCGGGCTTCTGCGCTAGAGTCAGGGTTTGCAAGTCCTAGCAAGGCAATCAGCGTCACAGCCGGGGCCAAAAGTACCTACAACTACTTGCTTGGCTCTATCCCTGAGCCTCCAGGGTCTAAGGCTAAGGTTACGGATAAGATTTGGACTGCACAAGCACACATGAATACTCGCCCACAGCCAACAGCCCGGAAGCCCTCCGAGCAAGACATGGGGTCCCATGCCGGCGAGAAGTTTCGGAGCTTCCCAACCAAAGCCCCAGACCTTCATGTTATCCGATACCCATATGTAAGGGTCTAGAGTAACCAGCACCTTGCGAAGTACTCTGAAATTCTCGATGGGTTGGCGGAGGTTCACGGGTCGTTTCATATAAATCGAGAGTCAAAATCACGATCGGTGAGGTTATAAACAATGTGGACCCAGATGACAACGCTAGCCTTGAATCGGGATTCTAGTACTAGTATTCCGGCCCTTGAGGAAGGGGCTGATTGATCAGGGGGCTACTACCCCTTCGAAGCTCCAAGAAAGAGAAAATTGGAGGCGTCGGGGCGATGCAGCTTTAGAGGAGATCCCGTTCCTCCCCCTAACAACATCCCCCGAAGGTATCCTACCATGATGCATAATAATAATAATAGATGCAGGGCAGGATATATCCCCAAGCCCCGAAAAGCCTGAACTATGAGCTCAACAAGCTCACTGCCAAGGTCCTCCTGCCCACTGCACCCCTCCCTGAAACCGCTGAGAGCGCATCTTGCCTCAACAAGTGCAGCCGAACATGGAGAGATATCGGAAGTTTTGGGTTGAGGGCGCCAGACGATGTTGATTCTACAGATCCGATTCTGTTGTCGTGAGGGTTTTGGACTGTAGGATTGAAGGTTTAGGGTTGCGGTGCGAAAGGCCACGGTTTCAATTAGTATCCTCCCACACTGCGGAACTGACATACAGCTTTGGCCATGGGAGCTGTTGAGCAAAACTAGTTCAGCTGCCTTCTCGAAGTTCCTCAATATTCGGATCCATTTTTAACTCCTGATTCAAGGTGCTTGTTTATCAGGGTTTACATTAAGCGCTTGGGTTTGTGATGATGAATTCCTGAAGCTTGTGCCTGCATGGGATCATGTGGCTCCGAGTCTTTAAATCTTCCCATGGAAGCTGCACCCCTGAGCTTGTCTGAAGCCTTTTTTTAGGACGTTTGTTGCGGCATTTCGGTGTTGTGGGTTCTGCTCCTTTTTCACGCAGTATTTTGCGGACTTTTCTTCTAGAGGAACACTCGTCGCGTAGGGGTGTTACGATTAATGAAGGTTTGCCATTTGGCTTGCAGTGGGCAGGGGCTGACGAAGGCGTATAATTACTAGTGATGAGCCCGACTCTCATGATTAACTCCATGAGACAGTCCTGCCGGCTACGAGAATTTCCCCAGGCTTCAGGCAAAGCCAAGCTCCAAAAGCGTGAACCCGTCAAGCCAACCAACAATTCGTTCCCTGAGATGAGGGCACTGCTCATCTAGACATTAAACCCTCGTGTTAACGGACACGCCTAGATTCAGATGTCTCTGGTAGACAACAGCCTAGGACCTGCCATGCTCACCGTCGGAGTACAACGACTCCATCTCCCCAGGGAGTTTTGCCTTGGCCGAGGCCCGGCCATCTTTCAGGCTTATCGGGAACTTAGAGGGCGCTGTAAAAATGGGCGTCTTTCTCAAAAACCTCAAGGGCTGTACCGATACAACCCAGTCCTGACAGGGTTCAGGGAATCGGCTTTGAGGTTCAGGCTTGTAAGACGGCAGCACTAAATCCTGCATCAGGTCATGCTCGAAAAGGAACATACCACAATTTCCGGTTGCTTAATTAAGCAAGGCAAAGCTGGATTTCAGATCTCGTCCAGAGAACCCTACACTCGCGACCCTTGTTTGAAGAGTCAGTAGTTAAGAAACCCGAGTACAAGAGCGCACACATGCAAGAACGGAAAGGCTTCAAAACCCAAGCGCCACATGTGCAGGTTGCGAATGCTGGATTGGAGACAGTCGTGGCCGAGGCGGATCTAACCTGCCTGTTGCATGCGCTGGGGTATTTACGTTCTACTCGGTGACTCTCTTGATTTAGTAAGTCTACTTGGTATCGCCTTTGGCCCGTGTGATAATCTCATCATCCCAACTTACAACAACCCCTACTTAGCAAGTAGAAGGGGAATCCAAGTAGGGGATTCAGCATGTCGCTGTGGGCCCGAAAATTTAAGAAAGGGGACCTGCACGGTGAGGCTGATTTCTAGCTCACGAGACTTAGTAAGTCCGTGTATCTGAGGTTATTTGACCCCCTTTTCCAGGTCATTTCTACTATAACCTTGCTTTTAACCTACGTCGTAGCCCACTGACGATCCAGTGAGCCTGCAAGTAGTGCAAAGCTTTAGGGCTTTCGGGGCGCAGAGTTGAGGTAAAGGGTTCAGGGGTTGCCAAACTGAGGTCATGGATCCTGTTCTGGCTTGCCATGCAGCTTCCCACAACTACGAGCCGGTGAGGGTGGATCCGCACCTGGCAGAGACTTGGACTGGAAGCGCGGGTTTCGCACTGTAGGGCTCCGGGTTTATAGGGTTTTTGGACCTTCAAGAGTTGAGGTAGGATCGTGGGATCCGGCGCTGGGGCTAGGATTGTCATTACCATTTCCTGTGATGCACGGATATTGCTTCCACTGGATCCGTCGTGTCGTTAGTGCTGTCGTGGTTTGACTTGATGTTACGGAGGTTCAGCAAAATAGGGTCCTTTGCTCTGTTATCTGAGATCTTCGTTAGGGCCCATGCTTTCTGAAACTTCGAACCTGCAGTGTGTGCACCAGACGTTGTGTGGGTGCATCGGGTTCAGCCCAGCTTCACGGCTTGGCATCGTCCTAAGTTTTTCATCCTGTCTGCCTCGACTTGCCTCATCCGTTCCAGCTCAGATCGATGTTCAAGGGGCGCCGAGGTAGTTAAACCTGACACCATCAACGCCCCGAAAGCCCACAGCTGCAAACACTTTCAATTACAGCTTTGCCTGCCTGGGTGTCAACAAGATATTGGCCAGGCCCTCAGCAACAACCCTCCGAGCACAACATCGGCACAGGTTGCGTTGCAGTACACCACATGTCGAAGGTGGCTCCATGTGAACCGGACAAATCCTCCGACACTGGATCCTATTGATTAGTAGCATCTGAAAACTGCCTGAGACATGTTGCGGTAAGTCTTTTGCAAAAGGATCCTGAAGCTGAATGATGGAGCCCTCAGATTGTGGTGAGGCGAGCTGCCCACAGCCGGTGCACAAGCCAACATCGGATGCCCCCTGGCAGTGTACCTCATGGTTCCTTGGTGTAGGATCGCTATTTTATCCTTCCCTTTCTTCCTGCCAAGAGAGTAGCATTCTTCAAATGCTTCTGGCACAGTAGGTCGACGCCGTGTCTCCTCAACACCGTTCATGACTGAATCCCTACCTGCTAAGTCCGTGGCCTCCAAGGGCGCTGCCCTGTGCTATACATATGTATTGTATTCGATTCTAGGGGGGAAGCCAGCACCCGCTCACCTGCCAGTGCAAAGTGAATCTTCAGAAAATACGGGACCATGACATAAACTCCGAACCCGAAAGACGCAATCCTAAAACCATAAACCCTAACGTTGAAGCCGTAGGTCGAAAGCCCAAGACCCTCAAACGCTAAAGCCCTAAACCTCCTTGGCCTTAATCCTGAACCCCAAACGGCTGTGCCCTAAAGCCTACGACACGAAAGCCTACGACCCTCAATCGTAAAACCTTAAGCCCTGCATCGAATCCTGACCCTCGAACCTTAAGCCACAAAGCACCGAACCCTGACATCTGAACGTGAATTGGAAACAAAAAATCATACCGAACCCTGGGATCTCCCCAGGCGACGGGAGATCCGCCACCGGCTAGCTCCATTCCTTCTGCCAACAGAAGCCTGGCTCTGCATGGTGTAGTAGTAGTAGCATTATTGCGAGTACTGTCACCATTACTGATATATATATATATATCATTACCCACGACATCACTATCATAACTTTTGACAGTACAATTACTCTTGCGATGGCTATTGCCTTACTGTTCCGATGATTTTACTACTGCTACTGTGACTGTTACTGGCCGTCATTACTGTTCCCTTTACTTGTGCTATTGCCATTGCTGGCATTAAATAGTACCATTGTTACTATTACTTTCACTATTGCTATCAGTCTTACTAGTAGTAATGCTATTGCTACGACGATTAATATTATCATTATTACTAGTAGTCGTCGTCGCGGTGGTGGTAGTGGTAGTAGTCATCAAGGTGGTTCAAACAGGCTTTACATGGGCTTTGCGACATTACTGGGTTGGGTTATTTGGTGTTATTAAGGTTGCAGGGCTCGACTTGATTCCTCATAGGGTAGTTCTGGTGGTGTTTTTGTTGGCGTTTCTGTCCTCCTTTTGTTGCAGGCTCGCCAAGAATCTTGAAGTAGAGGATCTGGGATGTCAAAGGCCTCCAGAAGCTTGGGGCTTTGGGTTTGGGTTGAAAAAGCGTCGGTTGTTAGCCTTGCCGAGTATTTGGATGTGGGCTTAGGGCTTAAAAGGTGGGAGGGGAGCGGTTGGGATTGTGGAACCTTCATAGTATCTTTACTACGGAAGCCCCACACTACCCAGAACCCAGCCGAACCTTTGCGGAATAAGTGCCCCATGCAAGGGTTCGTTTTGCGGGTTGGGGCTTACGGCCTGTAGGGCTGTAGCGCTTGACGCGTAACGGTTGTTGGGACTGTTTGGGGGTTGAGGCCTGAGCAATTTGTAAACCGTCAGCGACAGTTTCAGGACTTCGGCTCTCGGCCACAACCGGCCGAAACCAAGCGAAATCCGGCAGGTACCAAAGCAGTGACTTCAGTTCAACACCGTGAATTATTGAGTTTTGATCTCGGGTTGATGGGGTTGATCTGCATATAACTACGGTTGATGATATAAACCCTGCATTACCCATAATAAGGAATATATATATATATACCATAATTCTCATAGTTTAGGGTCCTCAAGGTAATGCGGGATGTCTATCATCAACAGTAAGACCAGAAGTGTGTCTTTACGATCCCTAGCGTCCCTAGAGCTTGCGTCAACCGAATAGACAATTAAGTTTTGCATGGGTCTTGGCCAGGATTCTTCGGTGTAGGGTTGAGGAGTTTTCAAGTTGGGGGGTCTGAGTCTAGGCCGAACGCCCATGCCTTTGGGCCCATATTCAAACATTGCCACAAACCCTACTACCCTAACTCCTAAACTCCTAAGCTCCAAAATCTACAGCACCGAATCCTCAATCCCAAAGCCCGACAGCCCTGAATTCTAAAAGCCCTACACCAAACCTCTAACATCAAGGTAGCACTCTTCTACAAGCCTTGGCCTCGCAAAACCTGGCAGCGCCCTGGCTTTGTTCAGAGGTTTGGAGGTTTTCGAATCACGCCACAGATGCACCTTGCATCCGACACCTATAAGCCAAGCTCAGCATATGTACGGCTAGACTTGTTAATGTCCTGTGCCTTTATCTGCGCAGTCGTAAACTTGTCTTTACATGTACTATCTATCTATCTATCTATCTATCTACCGTGATCTACCTACCTACCTATCTATCTATCTATCTATCTATCTATCTATCGGTCTATCTATCTATCTATCTATCTATCTATCTATCGAACTATCTATCTAACCGTCTATGTATCCATCTATCTATCTATCTACCTATCTATCTATCTATCTATCTGTCTACTTAACCATCCATATATATATATATGTTTACGCGTATGTGTATATGTATGTGCATGTGTATATGTGTATATGTGTATATGTGTATATGTGTATATGTGCATGCGTGTATGTATGTATGTATGTATGCTCATACATACAGATCCTTGTCTATGCATAAAGCATTGCATGCATCGTTATGCCGACTTATCTATGCAACTGCCTATCTCGATCGTTTATCTATCTGTCTGTCTGTCTGTTTGTCTGCCGGCCTAACTGTCTGACAAGCATTTATCTACCTACCTGTCTATGTGTCGATCAGCGTTAATAGCTTGTCTTCTGATGGTTGGTATGTCCACTTCTGTTCTTCTTCTGAGCTGTTATGTAGCGTTGTAGATGTCGCAAGGACATCCTCGCCGTCATGCGGTTGGATGCCGATTCGTGCGCGAGCAGCGCCGTAGGGAGTACAGAGAAGGCCGGGATTTCGGGTTTTTCCGAGCGGCGAACCCCAAAACCCTTTGCAGTAGGAGTTATGCTACTAGGATTTTGGTGGGTGTTCTTGCGACTCCTCAGGAATGTTGGTAAGTGTAGATTGGGGTCTGCTTGAGGCTGTAAGTCATATATGCTATGGGAGTTTCCAAAAGCACAGATCCTGATGTCAAAGACCCTCCACAAAGTGGGAGCTCAACCTCAACCCTACTTTTGTTTGCCTGATCTGCATCTGCGTGGCGTGCAGCCCAATGTCGTCTTGCGCTTAGCTACGCAACGTGTAAATGGACACATGCACGTACTGGGCGCTTCATGTTTGGCTGCAAACCTGCACACTCTCTGGGCTGATTGAGAACCACGTAAAACATGCAGCAGGCCCCTGGATGTGCGGCGGAAACGCATGCGACCAATGCACTGCATCCCCAGGACTGACTTTAGGCTTTGAGAAGTTCAGCGTTCAGAGTTTTAAAGTGTTGGATATTGTTGTTATTATTATACTACTGTTAATATTATTATTGTTAGTATTATTATTATTGTCGTTATTCTTATTATAGCATTATTACTAGTACTACTCCTAGTACTATTATTACTATTATTACTATTAATACTATTATTACTATTATTACTATTATTGTTATTATTACTATTATTACTATTATTATTGTGAGTTATATATATATGTATTTATGTATTTTTTATTTTTGTTATATATATATGTATATATATATATAGAGAGAGAGAGAGAGAGGCGAGGGGCAACCCTCGTCCGTAGCCCTGGCGAAAGAAAGAGAGAGAGCGAGAGAGAGAGAGTCTTGGGAACGTGCAATAATGCACAGGACTCGGTTTGTTGTTCCAGGTTTTCCTTGGGGGTTCGATATAGACAGCTATAAGTACAGGTAGTGGTAGCTAGATGTGCATTTTGCGGACCTTACTGGGGTTGGAGTGGGTCTTGTGCCGTGCTTATGGGTTTCATAGTTCTAAACAGTGGGGTCGCAAGTATGTTCACCATCATAGTTACAGTTACAGCCATGCGGAATTCTTCTCGCAACTACCTCTCAGCCTTCATGCAGGAAGCCCATTTCAGGGTTTGGCTACCTCTAGACTAGACAGGCCATGTCTCGTGACCAGAAAAAGGATAAATGCTCCAAGAAGCCCCAGGATCCTGCTTGCTTGCACCTGACACGCTAAGCCCAACTCCAGGCATCCAGGAAGCAGGAATGGTGTTCGCCGTTTAATAAGATCAACGCCTCTGGCCTGCTCTATAGCACTAGCCTCTTGGTGGCTACACACACAACCAAGCAGGCCGTGGCAGACGAGAGGGAGAGGGATTGGCAGATGATGTCCGGTGAGCTCGAGAATGGTTGGGACGCGCGGCTCGAGGAGGGTCTAAGCGCCTGAGGCTTTGGGGTTTGCGTGGCTTCGGGAACTTGAGCTTTGTCTTTGATTGCAGAGCAATCAGTTGTCTGTAGCTTAGCAGTCGTGCAGCGTTGCCAAAGCCCACAGCGAGAATGGCAGGCTTCGGGATTACTACCTTAAGGTTCTAAAGGAACTCGAAGTGGAGTTCCATGCTCTTCAACCGTATAAGTAGGTTTGCATTAATTATACCGACCATCCACTATAACTACGGTACTTACCATGCGTGTAACCTTACGAGCAATGAACGTTCAAGATCGCATCACCAAGAAGCCCTGCGAGCTCCTGCATCCCCGTTTCAAGACCCGCCATTGGGAACCAAAGAACGATTGTGTTTTGCTGGGACGTGGGAGGTTCGGGGTTTCGGGCCAAGATTTTGGCTTTAGGATAGGGTCGCCTTGGAACCTGCTAAACAACATGACAGAGTACCTGTGAGAGCACTTCTCAGATCCTTGAGGTTCTTGGCTGGGAACTGGGTTCTGTCAGTTGCTTTGCCTGTTATCTCTGGGCACATGTGTGACTCTCTCAAAGCCTATCTATCCAGCAACCCTCCTTCCTATGTATGTATGTGAACGACCGATGAATACATGCATTTAGCTAAATGGAAGAAAACCTGCCCTGAACCCTTGACCTTCGAGCCGAAACCGAATCAAGAACATCGCTACTGCCAAAGAAGCGAAACCCGAAGCCCTGGACTCCTAAGCCGAAGCCATGAACCCCAGGCCCTAGGCCCTGGACCCCAAGGACCCCTGGAACGGCCTCGTGGAGGCGCAGCCAAAGCCCAGACCGAAGTCCGCACCGGCGAAGCCGCGTGCCGACCCAGGCGGCGAAGCGAAGCTTTGGAGCTCTGTAAGATATGGAGAGATATAAGGATGTTAGAGATTTAGGAATTTTGGGGTCTGGGGTTTTGGCTTTTGGATTTAGCATTTTGAACTTGCGGCTCTCGAGGGATGTGAAGATGTTCGTGTAAGGGCTTGATAAGCGTTTGCACCCGATGAAGGGGTAGAAGGGTTTAGGGTTTAAGGTTCGGGGTTTATAGGGTATTGGGTTTTCGGGTGTCGGGCTTAAGCTTTGGGTTTAGGCTTCGAATTGAGGACCTTCTTGTGGGCCGATGTTGGCCGTCGAAGGTTCGGTCCTCAAGCCCGCAATGTTTTGCTGATGCACGCCAGCAGCTCATGCTTCTTCTAATGTAAAATGTAAATCACCATATATGGCTTGTAAGGGACTGACACCGCGTTTGCGTGGAGGCTCGGCATAAAGACAAGGTTTTCCCACAAACAATCTGGGGGTGTCAGAAAATGAGGGGCCCGGTGTGGAAAGTTAGATATTCTGTTACGTACTTCTTTAAACATGCTCAAGAGGGAGTCCTAATCGCAAGTACGGTTTCATGTTACCTGCTCTGGCTCAGTTCTCGGGCTTGTTTCAAAGTTTTTGAATGATGGCTTATCTGCGCGCATCAAACCAAAGTCTTCCCACAATTCCCTGTAAACCCTGAACCCCGAATACAAGACCTTCACCCGAAACTGTCTTGAACCCTTTAAGCGCTAAAAACGCTGTGAGCCCTGAAACCTGCAAAGCTTGTATACTGCTCAACCTACACCCTTCACTACCCAACACGATCCTTGACCCTATACCCCGACCAGGTCCTCCGCTCAGCCCAAGCGAAGCAAGCTTCGTCGTTGCCCATCGCATCCAACAGCAGCAGATCCAGCGCGGTCAATCCTGGATCGAGGAGTGTAGAGCTTTTGTAGCTGTTCCGTCGGGTGTGCCGGGGTTGTCGCAGGGGCCTGGATGTTATTTTGAGTAGGGGCCCAAACAGGCACAATCAAAACAACCTTAGATTTGGCAGAAATCTTTTTGGGGGCCGCTCGCTAGCGTAAGCAGCGAGAGATCGGGGAATGGCTTGGTTGAATGGGTCAGACTAAGGTTTTCTGTCGTGCCTGGGAGTAGCCCAAGTCCATGAAAGCAAACAATAATCATCTTAAACCCCCAGGAGGTGCGGCGTGAGCACGCGGAGGCCGAGAGGAAGGCACGGATAGCGCAGGAGACCCGATGGCTCAGCAGTGCTGGCGTGGACAGTACCCAACCGAGGTTTGCAGGCAATAGTAGGATCCTGAGCAGAAGAACCATAATGATCTGTAAACTGTAAAGCGTCGCCTTAGTTACAGCAAGGTCTCCATTAACAAATGCAACCTTGTCAAGCACTATCCAAACCTTGAGAACATCGTAGCAGCTCATTATCGCCCCCCCCCCCATAATAAAGAATGTTCTGTTGCACCCCGACCCGAGGCCCTTTTCCAGATCTTGAAGCTTCCAATAAAAACCGCCAGCTTTCTTGGAGGAGAAGGCCCGCCAATTGTCAGACCAAGCTGCCCACCGCGAACTGCGGCAGGCCATAGCACAGGCGGCAAGACTCGAGGAGCCGATTTTTTCGGGTGGAATCCGGGATGAGCTTTATAGATTCTCTTGGCTTGCTTCAAGCAAGAAGTCTAGATATTCGGTCTTGGATATACTTGGATCTTACAGTTTCTGTAGGCTTTGTTTTGGGGTTCGGGCCTTGAGAGGGTGTGTGACATGTTGTTTTGTCTTGAACTGTTGACAAAGCATGAAGGTCCCTGACTAGTGACACTCAGCGATGGGTTTCACGGTATACACCCTGCGACCCTTTAGGCGCATGCCACCACTTTCTTTGTGCCTTGTAGTCTCGCTCGTTCGGGTAGCACCTGCCATGGATGGTGCAGCACTTCGTCCAGTAGCGGCAAAGCCTTTTACACCAAACCTCATAAGTCTACAGGCCCTAATCCCCTACGTGTATCTGAAGGTACAGTATCGGTAGCGGCAGGTGAAGTTCTACACAAGCAACTTGTTTACACACATACATGTACATGCGGATGGCCGCACATCCTAAGGCCTAAACACAACGGCCTCCCCCGCCCCTCCGCAAAGCCGCAAATCAAACTCAAAATCGAAAGCCTCAAAGCCCTCAACTGCAAACCCCCAAATCCTAAAGCTCTGAGCACTAACCTTTGGGAACCCTAAACTCCCGACAGGCACCGACACCATGTACCACCTTCGAAAGCCGCATGCTTAGATAACTTGATCATGTACAGGTTTGTATACACGTCTGCGAACCAGTACAAGCCCTGGAAAATCCTTGAACATCCTTGCGCTCAACCTGGACCGAGCCCTCTAGCTCTAAAGACTCTACAACCCGAGAGCATCCTTCGAAAGCCTGTTGAACTGCTAGAGACCCGATGTTTCCAGGAGCCCGAGCTTGAAAGGTCCCAAAGCCTGCGCCGCAAGTCCGTCTCCTTTACAGGGGCTCCCTGCAGCGAATGTTTCAGCAATGGTTTGAAGCAGGATTTTGTAAGGGTCCTGTGGGGGCTTACAGGGCTGTACAGCACTTGGGGTTCAGGGTTGAGGGCTTTGATGTGGGGACCTGCTGGGTTGTATCCTTCTTCCCTAGGCTTCGATCTCCACTATGTCTATGAGTCTACAGTATACAGTATACAACTCTCCGAAATCCTTGTCTAAATATGTCGACCTTTATACTAGTGTCTCAGGCGCCGCAGGGCCTAACAATCAAAGCTTTAGGTGTAGGGTTTCTATAGAATGGGGAATATACCACAATACCCGCGGTTTAGTGCACTTCACTCAATCAAAGACACCACATAAGGCACCTGAGGCCCTAGACACCCCATCCAGGACTCCTGGACCCTGCATGCCGCTGACCCCTACATGCTGAATTGAAAGCATGTAAAGCACCTTGCAGGCCCTGTTACAATCGACGATAGAGCCAACACTCTCCTCCTTGACATGCTGAAGCCTAACTTTTGCCCAAAACACCGCACTAAACGCTAAAACCTTGAAGCCGAGAGTTCTAAAGCCCGAACCCTGAACCCCAACCCGCAAAGCCCTAACCACAAACCTGAAACCACCTGCAACCCCTCCGCTCTCCCCTCCCTTCTCCCCGTTGGGCTTCGGCTCAGGATCCCGAGGCCGTGACCGAAGCCCATGGAGGCCAAAGCGAGGCCAGGCAGCCGGAAGCGCTGAGGCGGGATGCGGCTGGGGTGGTCTGGGGGAGTAATTATTGCAGATTGTTTATGCCGTGTTGGTTTGCTTTTTTTGGGGGTAATGTGTGTTGATGGCTTGTTTGTCTGGGCTTGGGGAGTGTTTCAGGCTTTGGGGTTCAAGTTGTTTTTGTGGTTATTGGGTTGGGGAGCATGTTTAGTTTCGGGAATTGGGCCTTCATACGTCATTGTCGCTGGGCCCCCAGGTTAGCTGCTTCGGGTTAAGGGACCAGAAGCAGAAATGCACTTGGGTGCCGCAGGTTTGGGGCTGCAGAGCTGTGGTAAAACGGGTTTTTAGGGCTCGGGGCTTTGTGAGACTGTGCTGTACTCGCGGAAGGACATACGGCTGATGATCTAAATCCTGCATTACCCATAATAAGGAATGTACCAAAATTCCCATAGTTTAGGGTCCTTAAGGTAATGCAGGATTTAATTATATCATCAACAGTAGTCTTGCTTAGGCGACTGTTGTGGGGTACGAGACTCGTGACTTACACACCGCTATGTCTATGATGTGCGGGTTTAGGGTATAGGTACTATATACCTGCAAACATGTACATGCACGTAAAGGTTTGTGCACATGCCTTGACATTGAAGGAGGCAAAAGCACATGTGCAGAGCAGGCTACAAGAACCCACGCGCCGACTGGTGGGCGAGTTCTCAAGGCCTAGCTGGCGTCAGGTCTACAGTTCTACATACGATGCAGGAATATATATATATATACCTTTGTCGATGTCAAGACCATGGTGGCCTTCAACCAACCCGCAGCCTCAAAACCAAAACCGCCAGGTCCTGCTATACAAAGCTTTAACGCTATAGATACCCCAATGAAATGCCAGATGACGAGCTTTTACAGCCCCTTACAATACGCTCAAAATCCTTTTACAGGCGTGGCAGCATCCTAAAGTCCAGCTCCTTCTGCAGCCGCACGGCAGCTTGGTTCGATTACTTTTCACTCAGGGCTCGGAGCACCTGATCAAAACGGGCGTTTAGACACAATCTAAGGTTTAAAAGCTGGGTTTTGTCAAGCCTCTGCTTATACAGGAGTCCCAGCCCACGAAACCTACGTTCTTAGAATAGTCATACGCTCTGCTGGTGCGGGTTACATGCAACAAATGTTGCAGCTTGGGCCTGCACATGTAATGGTGCCATTATTGCTTAGGGATCCTCGATGTATTTATAGCTCAGGCCACAAACTCTAGTCGGTCTATTCAGGCTCCTACAGGAGGTATTCAAGGATGTGCTTATAAGCTTTTGGAATATATCTTAAAATCTTAAACTGCGCAAGGTGCTTGCTTTGGACTTAATCTGGCTTCCTCGCTGAAGTTGTATTGGGTTCGGTCAGCTCCGCTTGGCCTTCCAGCAGCGCGGGCGCCAGGTCGGTGGCGATCTGGTAGCGAGAGCAGCTCGCGTCTCGACGAGCTGATGCTCGTGACTCCGTGACATTCCGTGGCATTCGCCCGCCACTGCCTTCCATCGCTCGGGATCAACCAATCTTGCCCCCGCGAATGTGTGGCCATCCCATTCTTCGTGGCATTCGTTACGTCTGGTGAGGTGACGCTGCTGCCGGACATTGCCTTTTTGGGAAACTCGTGAAGGGTCGTTTCGTGCCTAGGGTCTTGAGTCCATCTGTTTTGGGTTTTATGGTTGCAGTTTGCGGGGCATTGAGTTTTCAGGGTTTGGTACTTTAGGCTTGCCGGGGTTTAGTTCGGGTGCAATGGCTGTCTAAAGCTTTAGAGATTGAGAGCTTCAGTCAGGTACGGCCTGTGGCTGACTTAATAACCCGAAACCCTAAACCCGAACCCTCATAGTCAGGAGTGTCTACCAAAACGACCTAGTCGACAGGGAGCTGGGGCTTTGTAGGGGCTTTACGGGTTAACGTGATTTAGGGGTACCTCAAGGATAGGTGTCGGTGTTCATGGGGTATATGCAGGTTAGCGTTGTTGCTTGTGGTTTCGGAAGGCGGCAAGGGTTCAGGGTGTTAGGTTCTGCAGAGGCTGACCGGTTCGTTAAAGGGTTGGTGAGGGGACCGTCAGGTTTTAGCGGCATTGGGTGAGGGTTTAGGAATGCAGTGTCAGTTTGGATATGAGCAGCGACAGAAGGATGCGGTGGCTCCATAGCCACCCCATTGTCCTGAGATGACCTTTAGTATAGAACTGGAGCAGCAGGAGCTTTATTTCACGTATCCTCAACGTCGTATCCCCGAATTTGAACAATTCCACATGGATGCTGTGTCCAGGCGGCACTTGTCCTGAAGTGGACTATGGTGGTATCACAAATCATAGCCTGCTAAGACTACAGGTTCCTGGCGTGTACGACTGTTCGACTTCTGGCCTACTCCTTGGCTCCCATGACCTCAACCGTCACAGGTCTAAGCCTCGATCCACCTTTCAGCACCCCCTAGACATGTTCAAGCTTTTGACGTTACATACACATAGAAAGATACAGTAATATATGCACACGAAGTTATACGATGGATAAACACGTCAAAATATATTGACTGTATGTACATATAGCTACCTCTATATATCTCTCTATGTATACATGTATATATATATATATACGTGTGTGTGTGTGTATGTTTTGTATACGTACATACACTGCACACGCACACATTGGTAGGCCCTGAGCCTAGGCTAACTATGAGGAGAGGCTTGAGGACGCGCGAGAATCTTGGTTCGGACTTGCTGACCCGACCAGACATTTTTGGTTTGTTGCAAACAGGGCATATGTTCGGGTGTGGGTGAGTGTATGTCGCGGCCCTCAGGCAGATGAGTGCGCCTACAACATTGGGTGTCCGTTCCAAAAACAGCAACACACGCATGTGGGTTGAGGGCTCACATTGGTGTTGAAAGGAGTCGTCGGAGTACTGGAGCTCCGGTGAAACACGGGGTTTGGAAAGGTTTACGTGCGTACACGGCCTTACCGGGTTCATACAAGGTGTATGAGGTCAAGACTCTGTGTTTGTAGCTTTGGAGGGTTTCGGGTGCTAAGGCTTCACGGAGCCTTGTTGAAGCACGCCTTCGATCCGAGGAGTCGGCTCGAGCGAACGGAATGCAGCGCAGACACAGCACCTGTGGCAGCGTGAGCTCCGAAGGCCAGGGGGGCCGCCGAGCCAATGCGGGTTTTGGGGGTTTTAGGTTTTTTTTGATTTGGAGTTCAGTGTTTAGACGGCGACGGAAAGCAGATGTTGGGCATTTATCAGGTTTCACGGAGACTTATGGGCGGAGTCAGCATTAGTGTCAGTAGGTGTTTTTGAGTTTGGGTTTTCGGGTATTTGTGGCAATTCGTGGCTTCAGGGCTTTAGGTTGGGTTGATTAAGAAACTCAATAACTCGGTAGATCTCGGTAGCCTTGAAGCATCATACCGCTATATCAACATTGGTGTCAGCAGTTGCTTCTTTGAGCAGAAGAAACAATAATGCTACACCTCAAGCAAAATTCAGAACTCGCTGAAGCGTAAACCCTGTAGACATCCTCAACCCTCATGATTCCCAAACCCTGAAACCTGAACCACGAATCTCTCCCTTAAACCTGGCCCCAAAACCTCCAGATCCATCACCCGTGACCATCAGAGCACTACAGTCCTCAAAACCTAGATGCTCAAGCAACCTGATACTTTCAACCCCAAGATCCCTAAGGCTGAAAACCTGAACCTTGCTATGCCATACACCCAAAGCTCGAAACCCTAAGTCGACCAGGAACCAAAGGCGACGAAAGCCTTGACAGCCCTCGTAGCCGGAGAACCCTTCAGAAAGCTCGACATTCTAAACACACCCAACCCTGAAAGCCAGACACGTACAACTCATTGTCTTGAGTCCTAAACAAAATGCGCTAGAAGCCCTCGAGAAAAAGCGAGTACTTGCAGAAGAGCACTTCTTGAAGATGAGCAAGGAAACGGAGCGGAGTCTCCAAGAAGTCTCAGGCGACCCCGGGCTGCCCTCTTTGTCGGTCCTCCGGGCGCTGCGGAAGGAAGCGGAAGCCCTGGTCAAGTACACACAGGAGGCGGAAGCCGGGGCACTGGGAACGGGGCAAGCCGGCTTGCGCTTTCGGCTTTAGTGAGCTGCTTGGGGGATAGGGTCCCATGCACGGTGTCGCAAGAGTTGTTAGAAGTGTTGCATAAGCTTCCTGTAAGGTTTAGTCTGAAAGTTGCATCGAGATTGTACAGGCTCGTAAGATTTTTTCAAGACAAGGAGCTGCCTTCTCTTTCGGGCTTATACTAGACCCCTCGTTCTTGTGAAACTTGCATGTGCCGTTCCGATCTTACCGGTTAGTACTGTAACTAGCAAGTTGGTTCTTTAGTATCCAACTCTTGACGTTGTTTTGGGATCTTATGACTCAGCCAGTCGTATTCTAAGAACTCATCATCTTCCTATTAGTGGAAGATGGGAAAGCAGATACATGCTGTTGTTGTGATTACGAGTCGTTAGAAGGTAGAAACATTCTCAGTCCTACCGACCTTAGTCCGGAGAGCCGTATGCTTCTGCTTATGTTTTCGTAGTAGTCGTGGAAAGTTCTTACCCACCCCCCCCCCCCGCCTCCACTAAACAAATCGCCATACTGTAGGACCCCCGTTCAGTCAGGATTTGCTTATGAGGAAATGAACTTAAGACGACCTTCATTTCGGACCGTGCTTCTTAGAAGATTCTTATGATTGGCAACGCTGCTTCGCATCTCTGGGTTGGTCGAAATTGCCCGTAGAATACTTATTCGAATCTTGCTTTTACTGCAATTATGATGAATTGAGTCGGTTACCGTCATCGTATGTAATTTTGAGATGGCTTTCACGATTTTTCCATCGTTAAGTATGGCTGCAATCATCCAGGTCATGATCAGCATTGTTATTGCTAGGGCGATTTACATGTGATTTCACTCATGTTCTGCGTATGTTTTACATGGGCCGTGGAGTAGGGTTGCAGGGTTTAGCGTTACAGAATGGGCATGTACTAGTCAAGCTTCCCGTGCAGCTGGACACAACAAGATGTCAGTTTGCGAAACTCAGCAGTAGCAGTGTCCAGAGTCCAGACTACACAGCTAGGAGTGGTGACGTGGTTGGGTCAAGGGTTTCTTTGGCGCTTCTAGTAGGATTCATCGTGCGTGCTCGGGATGTAGAGGGTCTTCAGAGGGCTTCCATTGCCGAAACGGGCTTGGGTTCAGGGTTTGCGGCGCGGCTCTCCCATACCGAGCGCGTGAACCTTCGGAGTTGTGAGGCTTCGGCATTTTCAGCATGGGCAATTGGTTGTTGCAGAGATAATAAGCTGGGGATCCTCTGTAGTGGCAAGCACTATCCCTGCACCCCCCCCCCCCCCCCCCTCTTCCGGGTCCCATGAACATCAGGTTTCCAATCATTGAGAGCCCCATCTTCTCTAAGAGGGCTCATAAACTGGAGTACCCCCTGCTCCAGCTTCAGGCAAAAGCCCGCACCCAAGAAGAAAAGCAGCTCGGACATGCTATAAGTGACTATAAGTGCACCTCAGTCGGTCTCAGAGCTAGCTTTGTTTACTGTTACATCAGGCCTGACCCTGCAAGTGCACATGGTTCCGGGTTACACGTGAGTGCCGGATCTAGATGCTGCGGAATTTGCACAGGTTCGGGGATACGGCGATGAAGCGAGACTCCGTGCTAAACTCATCCCCACCAGTGAACCCCAGCCTCCAAGTGACCTGTCAACGACAGGCACTGCCTCGAACCAGGGTAGTTCTCCGAAATGCAGTTGCGATGGTGATGATGACGACAACGGTAGAGAAGATGATCGAGGGAAGGCCACAGTGATCGCGATGCTATTGAATGATTGCTATTGATATCGGCAGTCGTGTAAGCGCGAATGTCTCTTTGCGGAAACCAATAGCACGAAGCTTCACCCCCCTGGATTCGGAAGCCAAGGAGAGACAAAGCGATTCGGGAGGCAGCTTGCAAGTACGGGCTTGTGGACACGAATGTTTGCATCCAACCGGAAACCCGAACCCTGATCCCTAGCACCGAAGCCTAGAATAACCTGAAGTTTCAAAACTCCCCACTCCATAGACCCTTAAAAAGCCTGAAACAAGAACATCCAAATCATCCACAACCTTGAGCCCCGATGAGAACCCCATAAACCCAAAACCTTCTCATTCCCGGCTACACAGAGCCCCTGAAGCACAAGCCATGGCTCTACAAGTGTTCCATGAGGGTTCTTTAGTCGGTCTTTATAGGGGCCCGCCACGGGTCCTATGACCGCACATAATAGGGCTTGAACCAGCTTTCTCTTGAGAGCGAGTGGTCCTTGTAAGATTGGCCTTGACATTGCTTGTGCGATGGTTGCTGAGTGAAGGTTTTTGGGTTGCTTGACCCCTGGATTTCATATCCAGCATATGACTGGCAACACGACGAGGACTACAGGTTCAAAGTTTCGGCTTTCCGTTCATGCATTAGGCATGAACTGCAGTTTTGAATCGACAACTCGAAGCATAAACCGGAAGAGCCCTATGCCTAGCACTCCAAACCCCTGCATTTTAAGAAGAAGACAATAGCCTTGCCCCGAAGCCGTGTAAGCCAAACCCTCCCGAAACCCTCAGCACTCCAGCCAGAGTTTACAGGAATTCGGTATACTGAAACAAC